AAGTTTTTGTAATTGAGGAAACTTTTCATAATCTGACATTTGTTAAAAACCACTTATTAGAAATTATGCAGCACAGTAGCTGTGGAAGTATGAGCTAGCTTCACAATTATAAAGTCAGCCTATGTAGCCCTCTGCTATTGTATATAGTGGCATAAACCCCACGGCGGCCTATCAGCTAACTGGCAGGCAGGGGGCTGCTCTATTCAAAGTGAGAGATACAAGCTGCAGGGCAAAAACCTGGCAGCTCCCATCTGACCCCACAATCCCCTACTGGTGACAGCTCCAAGCTCCATGGCAAATTAGGCCTTCTCATATTACAATTGGAGAAGACAGATTCCATTAGCAGTATCTGAAATTGAGTGGAGAGCTGCACTGTTATCAGACTTGACTCATAAGCACTGCTATTAATCAGAGCTATGATAGCATTTATATATTTCAAGCTATCTGCTGCCGCTGTGATATTCTGCTACAAAGGGTTGATGGGACTTAGGAAAGTGAACAATAGAGCTTTCTGGGAAAAGCAGAGTAAATCAAGAAAGTCTATGACTTCCGCACATTCTGAAGGGATTGCGGTTTACATAAATTTTCTCCCAATTGGAGATTGAGCTCTTCCTCATCTTACACATGGGATTTAGTTGTCACTCAATGGTAACAGCTGTGAAAAGGTGAAGCGGCCCACCGCTCGGAATATTGCCTTCGCTTTTAAAGCAATTAACCCATGAACAGGAGGATACCTGGTGATATCAAAGGGATTAGGCCAGGCACTGCATTATTAACATTTCCTTGAACTAATTCTAACTCTGACTAGCTGTCAGAGAAGGCTCCACAGTCTTAAGAAAGGGTTCCTGCCCTGCTTTTCTCCCTTCCCAAGGCAGCGCTGCTATCTGAGCCTAATATGTCCCTTTACTTAGAAGGAAATGCAAATGAACCAAGCTCTTAATATGCTTAACCAGTCTGAGTCAATGCAATTTTCATGCGAATATGAGAGAAATATATGATCAATTAACCAGGGATCAAGACAGATATTCTCCTGAATGGAAATGAACGCTCCAGTATTTCCCATTCTTCTCCAACTACAGAAACTTGGTGACTATTTGTTACTTATGCATAGTTACTTCGGAAATTAGGAAGAGCTTCACATTATTCTCTATGGCAATAATCTAAAATACTCTCTGAGCTGGAAAATCCAGATGTCCTGTAGGCAGGAGATTCTGCATCCTCTAAGGCATGGCATCTTAACTTCTCTTCTTTATTGAATGCAGTCTTAACCGAAGCTCGAAGAAAGGCAGACAGGGTTCGGAATCGAGCATTTGCTTTAAAGAAATTTAACCAAATTAATTTTCAGCAGCAGCATAATGTTTAGAAATGCACAATAATAAAAGCTGTAAAATGCCATGCAGAAAATACTGGCAGAACATCATCCGCCAGGAGACTTTTAAGTCTTACTGACATTGATCCTAACTTCCCTGTAGTACACTGGCATAGTTTAAATATGTCTTATTAATATTCTCATATCCTAGGTGATCTGGCCGACATTAAAAAAGATCTGATTTCTTACTGTATGATGTTAGTGGCAATAGAAAATGTTCTACGGGAAATCTTCCCGGAAGAGGGCCTCCTAGAAGAAGATGTCTGTGAAACTGCATTTGGAATGGTGAGTCACTGTCTTCCTTCGCTTTAAATAAGCACCAAGTTTGGGCCAGAGACCCTGGGAGAGTTTTCTTTCTTGTTCAGCTGCGCACTCAACAGCTCTGAGAATGCATTTCCCGAGGGTTCCAATTGGTCCCCAACAGCTGGAAAGGGAAAGGCTGACCCCCAAGAACCTCACCCAGGCTCACAAGCCAGGCAGGCCATTCTGAGCTGGGCTTTTCCTGCACTGCCAGCCATGCACTTCCTTCTCTTCCAGTACATATCCGAAGGGAAGCCGGAGACACTGGGTGATGGTAACCCCACCACTCCTGCCTAACTCTCTATGCGCTGCACTCACTAGGCGATTGAGCAAATTTAAGTGGTATTCACATCCATGATACAGGAAACGCATAATTTTTAAATTTCATTTGAGTGAGGTTTGTGAATTTCAAATAGAATAGGGCACTTTAACATGCTGCCAAGTTTTTTTTTAAGTCATTTTCTTCCATGCCTAGAAAGAGAAAATCCTAATTGTCATAAACTACATCATCTTAAACACACCGATGCACACATCAGTAAAACGAATATCACTTCATTATCAATGCCAAGTATCAGAACAGGTTCCCCTTACATAATACGCGCTTAAAATGCTCTCCTGAAGAGGACAGCACATAAAACACACACCCGGAAAACAACTGCTTTCAAAGTGCTGTTACCCTCACATGCTTTCTGCATTAGAGCAAGGCAAGTACGAGTGCTTACCAACCATTAGGGAAGACTGACAAAAAATGCAGCGTTAATGATATCTTACAGCTTTTAAAAGCAAGGGAGAGATGCAAGAAAAGCAAAAATTACATAGCAGTTGGAAATAACGAATAAATTGTTCTTTCAATCTAAGTCATGTTTACTGAAAAAAAAAAATAGGCTTTTTACATCAACACATTTAAACAGAAATTTGTTTTTGAAATATAATCTTTGTTTAGAAAGTACAGAAGGTCTTTATGTCTGCCCCGAGAGCTAAGTGTAGAGGATGCTACATGAACAATCACCCGAAAAAGAAAAATAACTGAACCTGTTAAAAGAATTCATTTACTGTACACCAGTCAGCACTGACTCTGCATGTGCAGTGCTATTCTCTTAAGTGAGGGAGGAAAGAAAAAACAGAACCGTTTTCTTGGATCAAAATCTTCAGTATGTGACATCAAAATGGAATGATGATTTGGCCCATAAACGAATGAAGTAGTGAAATGTCTCTTCAATAAATTCTGACCCAGGAATCAAAGTGTAAAGGCACATGTTTCACTGTAACAGGGACTGGAAAAAAGCCGTCACTGTAATGGCTACACAGACACCGTGTCCTGCTGTTGGGTTTATATTCACAGGAGAAAGGTTTTAGAGGTTAAGTTCAGGTCATACAACAAATGAAATTGTAACAAGCCAGCTGACATTGTATAATGTCTTCTTCCACTCAATCAATAGGCTACTGTTAGTCCTATTACCATAGAGATGGCTTCTCCTTTCTGGAGGCCGCCTATTGTTTGACAAAACAGATTTGCCACTTGAACCAGGTTGCTCCCAAAGGACGTGTACCTTGTCAATTATTTGTATTCAGAATAATGAAGTATTTTCATTTTAAAATGTAGAGAAGAGATAATAGTGTTACATCCTGTTTTTGAAAGAGAGCGACTTTTCCAAAACTACTGTAGCACTAAATCACTCCAACACAGATTAGTTACAGCAGTTTTGATTTAAAACATGTGCCAACCACTACATTTTTCATTAACACTCTCTATTAAAAGAAAAGAGGCCCTGGCTAGAGTGCTCATCTCAAACCCAAGCACTCAAGCCTAACGACCAATGAGAACTATTTCTTCATGTGGACAAATCAGAAGAAAAATATTGCCCAAATTATTTGCATTGTGAAAAGACTATAAAGTGGAATGGCATCAATGACGTATTGGAAAAAATGCAGAGAGTTTTAGGAACAAGTCACTTTTATTTTTGTTGCCTAACAGCTATCTGCACCACATAATATTTAATGTATAATCAAGTTCCGTACATGACCTTCTAAGCTATGAAAGAACTACCAAAATAACTGTAAGTGCTAGCTTGCTTTAAATGTCTATCCGAAAATGCCTTATGAAAATGAGTTAACGTGCAAGTTCAACAAAGGACAGTACATTGCAAATTTCAAAACAGATGTTCAAAAATAAAAGATTATTTTTCTCTCTGTGGAAATACTGGCAGGCTCTTCTTTATGAAAGGCTCAGAAGTCATCCTAAGAAGGACTGTCCTGGTAATTTAGAAAAAGGACTCAAAACACAAATTAGCGCAGAAGATATGCTGTTTAAATATCTCAGCTTTGAAGATTTGGTTATCACTGCAGAGTGTAAGACTCGATGGAAACAGACAAAAACAGAACAAATGATCAAAATGTATTTAGAAGCTGAAAGCTTTGTGTACAAAATTTACACTTGAGAGTTAATGTGAACCTTTCCATAAACAACGAAAAGAATTTAGCTAAAGGTCAACATTATTATGACTTTATTACACAAGTCACTGAAATAATGTTTGAAATTATATCTACTCAACTTATACTACATTTTCATATAAAATGCTTTGTTTACATCATAAAACTTGAGAAGTGTTTTAATCTGGTGTTTCCTCTTTGGAGAAATGATTGCATTTCTGCTATCTTTTTCTTAGGAAAAGGTTAGGCATTAAGAAGGAAGGAGACAGAAATATCAAAGATGAATGAATTTTAGCAATATCCTAAACTAATGACTAATTTTTAAAAAGCGAGGTAGCCTTGCTAAAGCAAGAAAAGCTTTCCTCAGGGAAGCAAGTGGGGTCTAATCTGCTGGCCTCCCCTACAGCTCCAACGGAACAAAGTGAAACCTGATTAAAAGCACATCACAAATGTGGTTTCCTGAGTTAATACCCTCGTGTTTTTTTTTTAAAGTATGCAACATGTTTGTATTTAGAATACAATAGAATTAGATCTTAGCAGCTGCCCATCAGTGACCCTGTGAGGAATTAAATGATATTTGCCATTTACCAAAAGGTGAACTTGACATCGTTGAGTTAAACTGGCCCATCTGCATCCTCATAAAATGACAAACCTCATTAGTTCTGCCTGCCCAACGAGTTGGGATAATGAACCAGTGACACCTTCACTCCACTGAGGGAAGCAGAACAAATTGTGTAATCATTTGAGGAGTCGAATGCAGATGAAATTACTGTAAATGAAGGGGGCGACATCACAGCAAAGACGGAGGGAACAAAAGGCTCCTGTCACGGGCGTCTCTGACCAGAACACATCGACATCTCCACTGGGTTGAGGGGGCATTTTAACTAATCAACTACTTTACCTGAAAACGGTGAAAAAAAGCAACGATGCAGCCGCGGCTCCAAACAAACCACAGAGAAGGTTGACCCTGTAGGCGACAGAGCCAAAGGGGCACAGCGTGATAGCCAGCTTCGCCAGCAGCGTGAACAGTGGGTAGCCGGGCGGGTGGGCAACCTGGGGGGGGCACATGAGCCGCAGTGAGCAGGACAGGAAGTGTCACACTGGCTGTACCACAAAGCAGCCCCTTCCTCAGGCCCGGGTGCAGGGTAGGCACCCAGGCCTTGCCGTCTGAAGGCTGGGTGTTCTACTGTAATCCCCTGTGCCAATACAAATAAATATCTTCTAAGGTGGAGTTGGCACTGTCTATCACATGAGGCATCACAGAGGAGAAAAGGGTGACATATTGCATTGTCAGCTCCTCGGCAGCGCGTTCCAGTATACTAGGGTCACGGACGAGGCTACAAAGAGAGCAAGTTGGGGAACCACACCTTGGTCGGAAAGTTGGAAGACCACACTGCTGCCGGATTACCACCACACTGACAGTCGGAAGGTCTTGCCTAAAGGGATCATTCACCATAATCAAGTTTATTAAATAATAAACTTATTAAAAATTGTTAACCCGATTTATTTTATTCTCCACAGCTTATACAAAATTTGGGGTGGTAATAAGCCAGCCACTGTATATATAGGAAAGGCTTTGCTTTATAATTTCGTTTAATTGGATTTAAAACTTTAAGTAAATTGTCACGTACTGTACTTATAAGTTACTAAAAACTGGGGTTTGGAAATAAATTAATCTACTTTACTCCATGCTTAATTAAACTTTCTTAATTCCTAAAAACTGTTAATGAGAGCATTGATTAAACAATAAAACTAATACTTACTCCAAGCTCATGCGCTGCTGTGATCAGTTCCCCTGTGAAAAAATAATGTAAAACCAATAATTACTATTAGAGAATGACACTCCTCCAAAGTTTTCAAAATCCAAATGCTTGCATTGGGGTTTTGCATTAATTTGACTGGCTAAGACTATAAATCTGCAGAGATTAAACAGCATGAAGCGGCCCAAGAATATCTGCTCCCGTAGGTCTTACAGGACCGACTATCTCCGATGGCTTTTAATAACTGGTCAGTGGCAACGCAGGTGAATTCTGGCTTTTACAGAGTGCTTGTTTCCCTTCCTGAAAAGCTGCACTCACTTGCATACAAAAATGAGCAGAGTTCAAAAGAATCTGGGGGGAGGGTGGGAAATGGAAATCAACAAGTTTCTTTTGATACCAAAAATATTTTTTTTTTTGGAAAGCCACACACCATTTTTTTTCACGCTGTACATTTCCTGGTAACATTCTGAACCACCCCAGTTCCGTCACAGGGCATTCATGTAATGTGCTGTGTCATCCCTCAAGAATCTAGTACCATCTATGATTATGTAGAATGTGCAGGTGTCTGAGGTCTGGGCACTCCCTGAAAGGTGCCACTTCATTCTAGCACTACTATCTGTGTGCTTTCTCTGCAGTAATTAGGTCAAGTGCCTTCTAACCATAACTGTTGTCCAGGTTCTTTTGGTAAGCTTGATCCCATTTCTCACCCTGAATCATTAAATCATTGGTGTCTTTGATGGTTTCCCATGATCTCCTTCTAAAACCACGATGCAAGTAACTCAGCGAGTGCTTGTTAACACAGCACATATCTACAGCACAGCGACTGTTCCCAACTTCCTGTCCGAGTACAGTGAAGTACAAGCATGTACCGATGCTGACGATTTTGTAGAAAACGGCCGAGCACCTCTAATCAGAAAGTCTGAGATGTAGACCTCAGGCTCCGAAGAGCTCTCAACTGTGGAGCGTTTCAGGTCTCAGACTTCCAGAATCAGGATGTTCAGCTGGTGAGGTCTAGGCACACGCCCCCCAAATCTGAACACCTGCAATCCCAAGCAGGTCACGCTCAACTAGGATGAGCCACTAGGAAATGCATCCTTCCACACATTTCAATGTGGGCCGGCACTGTGGCTCAGCACGGAAAGCTACCGCCTGTCATGCCAGCTTCCCATGTCGGTGCCCTCCAGCTGCTCCACTTCTGAGCCAGCTCCCTGCTGATGTGCTAGGAACACTGGAAAATGGCCCAGATGTTTGGACCCCTGTCACCCACGTGGCAGACGTGGACTAAGCTCCGGGCTTTGGTAGTCTGTGGCAATTTGTGCAGTGAGTCAGTGGGTGGAGGATCTCTGTTTTTTTCCTCTGTGACTCCTCCAAATAAGAAAATCAATCAATCAAAAGTATATCTCAATACTCTTTCATTTTCACCCAGCCTCAGCTCAGGCCTTCATCTTCTCTGGCCTGCACTGGAGCGATAGATTGACTGATTGTTCATCTTGACATTGAAATCATTTACCTACCCCGGCCCACCCTCCCGCCCCAGAGTGTCTTAACATTTCTGTGTCCACCTTCTGCTTCCTGCATGAAACCGGACAGTGTGATGTACAGGTCCCGCTGTGAGGCCTAGACCCTTGGAACCTACGCCTATGGGGTCAGGTCTGATTGCGCTGAGCCCTGCCACCACTCCTTGGATGCCCCTTTAACACTCATTCTGTCCCCACTGCAGGATCTTCCCCATTATTCTCTGCTAAACCCTTCAGGGCCTGGCTCAATCCCCCCACCTTCTCAGACACACTGCTCCCTCCTTCACTGACGCTGTTTGGGCCATTTAGCACTTACTTAGGTGGCCTTGTATTTCTAAGTTTAAAAATATTCTCCTACCTATTTCAGGATCCTGCCAAGTTTATGGCCACCTCTCCCTCCTCCAGCCCATGCCGACTGTAATGAGCTTGCCCACGGGCTGACAGAAAGGACCCATTACACTGAGGTACTTGCTACTCAAATACCCCTTTCAAGTGAATGAGCAGCAGCCCTAGAAGGCGTGCCCAAGACAGCTGCTCGATTTAAGTCAGTTCCTTCAGGATGCCTTTGAAGTTTTCTGAAAATAATTCAGTGGCATCCTAAACCCTAGCCACCCTGTTCATATCCGAGCTGCTTCTTTTTATGATCTAGAAAAGCTTAGAACCACTCCCTTCCCAACCACTGTCAAAGATATTTTATGATGTAATTTTGCAACAGATTAGCTCTTGGGTCTTCAGTCTCAAACCACTTTAGTTGAGTTTTGCTGTTCTTATCCCTTTAAAAAGCGTGTGAAGGGTTGGCCAAGTCCAGTTTCAAGGTCACTGGCCGCTCTCCTCCCCTTAGATCTAGCACTAGGAGCAACAGAAACAGAAACCGCCTATTGTCTCGAGCTTCTTTTACCATCACAAAGCCAACAGGCTGTACCTGTTGGCTGCTTTCCAGATAAATCTGGAATGTGACAAACTTCCATCAACTCTTATCAAGTGTTAAACCAAAATATAATTAGAAAAGAGGCCACTCTTCAAAGCCTACAAATGCATCCCCAATAAAGAAGGGAAACAGGACTTGAATGTGACAAGCAGTGAAGGATAGCAATGAAAGCCTTAGCTCCCCCCCACCCCCGCCGAGCCCTCCCAATCCTGCACACGGGGGAGTCCTTAAAGCTGAGCCCTACACCACCCACAGGAGTGCTTTCCAATGATGGAGATTCCTTGACTGTACCTTAAACTTCCTAATGCAATAAAGACCCTCTGGAGTCAGGGCCCAAGCTCCCCGGGTGATTCTGAGGTCCATGCAGGTGCGAGGCCCAAGGCCTTGCTGTGTGGTTGGCAAACTGCAGGTGAATTCGTAGCCCGCGGTATAGGTGCTCAACCTTTATAACCAGCGCTCTCGCCCATCAAACCTGTCTTTAACAAGTACAAGCGTTTATCTGCCATCTATAATCACACAGAGAAGCGAATCCAGCCATTTCCGCCTCCTTCCTCTCTGAGCTTGGGCACTCTGGCCTCTAAACAGTGTGTGTGTGTGTGTGTGTGTGTGTGTGTGTGTAGTGGCGCAACCCACACTGTCTGATGGATTTACGGCACGTAACTTGGCCCCTTCAGCAAGAATACATACTTGTCATCGGTTTTGCAATGTAGTCCGTTTATTGAATCAACAAGCACATTTCATAAACAGGATGGGCAGCACATTTAACAAAGAACTGCCATAGATACGGTTCAACAAAATTTCCATACTGGCATACACTTGGAAAGCAATTTATTAATCATCCCCCCAAATCAACGTAAAAATGCTAGAAACAGTCAGCACCCTGCATCTGGCAGCAAACTGGAACACCTTAAAGGTGAATATGTAACTTTATTTCTTTTGGGAAAATAAATGCTGAATGAATAAAGCAAACATCACATATTTGGAGTAAGACTTTAAGCATCATTGTATATATCTATGTGGTGGCAGCTAAAGAATGTCATTTCCATTCGATGACAGAGGGGGAGGTGTGAAGACCTGCTGCGGGCTAGCTGCGGGACACTGGGTGTGGCTTACCTTTGCTCATCCACAAAAGGGACCCCCCAGACGACAGCTGGGCAGTGACCAGAGCACCCGAACGGCCCTGCATACAGCAGGCGCCCAATGAACGCAAGAGTTGTTGTGTACCCCACCCTCAGCCCTTGGGCTCCAAACACGCGCCGAGTACCTTGGCAGAATTCTTTTTTTTTTAAAGCAGAACTACCCAACCTCTGAATAATGCTCTCTGATGTCAAAACTTTGGCAAGGCTCAAGTTATTCCTGTTATTCCATGTATATCTCAGTAATAAGGAGACCCTAACCCTACGGTGCTCTGTAAGTACACCAGGAAGGACTCCCCAAGTGGCCGGCCGCCTTGGAGCTGGCTGCAGCAACCTGCAGCCCCGGGGGTTCTCACTGGCCTGACCCCAGCCCCCCGGCACTGCGGCCTGGATTAGCGAACCTCCTGGCGCCAAACAGGCCAGGGGTCTGTCACGGAAAACGAGACCCTTTACCAGGGCCTTGCCAGGAGCTGCCACGCGGGTTCTCCTGCTGACTGACCCAGCAAGCCACTGCCTTTCATCCCTTCCACTCCAACGATCCCCAGGTCTTGGGGTTCTGGGGGAGCCCCAACCCGCCCACTCCAAACCGCATTTCCCTGTGACTGCCCACATCGGAGGACGCCCGTGCCACATCCGGTGACCCACGTCGAGACTACGGAGGGATGCAAAGGACCGACTCGGGACCAGAAAACTGCACTCAACCCTGCGGGGGCCCCCGGGACCACCCTGCGAGTACTTTACCCGAGTCTCCCCCCGGCACCGAGGGCGGCAGCGTGCGGGCGAACACGGCGGCCACAGCGGCGAACACGGCCACGCCGCCGCCGAGCCCGCCGGAGTGCCGCGGCCCGGCTCGGCCGGCCTGCCCCCGGGCCTGGGCGCTGCCGTGGCCGCGGGGAGCCATGTGCGCGCGGGCGCCGAGCCGGGACGAGGCGGCCACCGGGTGCGGCGACCCCAGAAGGACGGCGCACGCCGCCTGCCCGCCGCGGCTTCCGGGTCGGGCCGCCGCAGGCCGGACCGCACCTCCTCCCGCCGGACCAGGGGAGGACAGAATGCCGGGTCTCGAGGCAGCCGGGCCGCGGGAGCCCCGAGACAGCATTCCGCGCGTGGGTGCTGTCGTACGTGCAAGGAACTCATCGGCGGGACAGCATTCTTTAAGTGAGCTTGGTAAAGGGCCATCGTCTCTCTGGCTCCTTCCTCCCCCCCCCCATGTTCACGGCGACTTGGTCGATTCCGACAGAGACGCGCGAAGCGCCCTAAACCGCTCGAGGGAGGGCTGCTTCTGCCACCTGTGGTGTGGGGTGGAACTGCAACCGAGGACGGGGTGGCTGGCTGTGTTTAAGGCGCAGGTGGCGCGTGTACCGGGGGTGCGGAGCAAGCCAGTAGAAGCATCATCAGTTTCTTACCATTGACCGCACTGACACGAGAGATTCTAAACCTGCGTGTTAATTATCAAGTCGTTGAGTACCTTTCAGAGATTTTAAAATATCCCCCACCCCCCAGATTAAGGAAAAGGTTGGAGACATAGTTTCTATATTAATACAAAACAGTTCACTGTAACAAAGACGCTTTCTACCTTTGCAAAGAGGGCTTTGACTGCAAAGCGGGCAATGATGCAGAGACGAAATACAGTTAGCTGAAATGAAAACAGAATGGGAGAACCAGCCCTAAACAGGGACTCTTAGCAAAGCCCCCCGTTTTTCCTGTTACTGGTGGGAGGGAGAGAGGGCAGCCTCTACGGACTGTTTCTCAAAGCACATTCAAAGTCGTGACAAGCTCAAAGGCGCCCTGAGCAGTCTGACACCAGGAACTCTGCGTCTGCAGTGTAGAGCGGCCTGCCCCCGACGGGGACCGGCAGCGTGGCATACCCCTACAGCGACCCACAGTCCTACCTTAGTCTTTTCCAGGGGCAGTTGGCTTTCCGTGTCTGCAGCTTTTGCATCTGCACATGCAACCAGTTGCAGCCTTCAAACATGCATCTGTTTACAGCAAGTAGAGCTTTCTTCTGTGCTTATCCCCCCAAGCAAGCTAGTATGGGGTGCTGTTGATGAAGTCATTGCATTGCAGTAGGTTAAACCTTACAACGAATTGAAGGACCCCACAGGATACGCACAGGCCACACGCAAACACTGTACTGTTTTGTATTGATGGGGTAAACTTGAGTGTTGGCAGGTCTGAGTACCCGCATGGGGTCCTGGAGCAATCACCCACAGATACAAGGGGGTGACTACGTTTATGTAAGACCTCCACGCTTTGACCATGTTCCTGCCAGACAGGTGCTTCTGCTTGGACCACAGCTCGCAGCTCCTTTCCATCTATTAAACAAGGCAGCCATGATGGCTGTCAGCCTCGGGATGGGGCTATAGGAGACTGACTCTGTTTTCGACCTCTCACCTTTTCTCTGTGAGGAAGCCGACCCCAGGCTATGTGCTGTGTCCAAGTCTACATGGCCAGGAACTCAGGGCCAGCCTGCAGCCTCCGGCTGGGGAGCAATGCCAGCCCATGACCTCTGTGAAAACAGCAGGTGCCCCAGCTCAGCCTGCAGATGGTGGCAGTTCCAAAGGAAGGCCGTCTACACTGCTATCTTAGGGCTTCTACACTGCTGTCTTACAGGAACAGAGATAGTAAGTCTTCTTTTATACTGATAGGTTCAGGGTAATATGAAACTTGACAATAGACAAGACAGGTTGTCCTCCATGCTTTTCTAACAGATCAGGCTAATGAGCAATAGCAGCTGAGCCAGGGTTTGCTTCCTTCCCTGTGGGTCCATTGCATTATTTAGGAGCTTGATGAAATGTCTGGTGCCTTGGCTGAATTGGCTAATTCCCCCCACACCCCTTACAAATGCCAGGGTCCCATTTGGGTGCTGGTTTGACTCCCAGCTGTTCCACTTCTGATCCAGGTGTTTGGGGGTGAATGTGGTCGGGTGTCACAGGAGAATGCAGAGGGGTACAGCTGGGCCTTGAATGCCCACAACTTGGACAGTTGGCTCTCAGCAAAGCAATGCGAACCTGCGAATTCCAAGTTCAGGGCAGGCCTGGGAAGGAGCCTATACTTGGCAATACTCCCAGACCGTCTGACTCCATCTCTCAAGGGGCCTCAGGCTGTTCCCTGCCCCTAGAAGCCCTAGCAATAGCCCCTGCCTTAGGTTTCCCATTGGCCACCTGCCTCTCCACTCTGGCTCTGCTTCTGCCCAAGCTTCAAATGTGGGCACGCACCAGGGCAGTTCAGACTGTTCCGTGTGTTTATCTTTCTGAGATGAAGGGTTTAAACAGCAGCCACAGAATGGCATATCTCAGAAGTCAGCATACCCACCTCACCATTAAACTATAGATGAGTTGGGACCAGTGCATGGCTCAACAGGCTAATCCTTTACCCTGTGGCACCAGCATCTCATTTGGGCACCAGTTCATGTCCCAGCTGCTCCACTTCTGATCCAGCTCCCTGTTTATGGCCTGGGAAAGCAGTGGAGGGTGGCCCAGGTGTGTGGGCCCCGGCACCCATATGGGAAACCTGGAAGAAGTTCCTGGCTCCTGGCTTTGTATTGGTTCAGCTCTGGCTGCTGCAGCCATTTGGAGAGTAAAACACTGGATGGAAGATTTCTCTAACGATCCTTCTCTATGTAAGTCTACCTTTCAAATTTATACATATAAAAACAACAACAACAAAAACTATAGAGGACTTTATATCCCAATTTCTCCCTGACTCCTCCATATCCACATCCTAACAGACTTCTAAACCTTAGGGGACTTTGTCTTATTTGCACTGTATCCAAGTGATGATTAACAAAATATCTGTGTAATCCATGAATGTATGAATAAGGAGAGTCCATTAGCTTGTATCCCCTAGGGATTGGGTTAGGCTGCTAAAAACAGGTACTGCCTCCATGATAAAAACACTTAAGCTTGAATTCTCTCCCCATAAAGGAAGTCAGGAATATGGTGGAAGTCAGTGTCGCGCCGGCTCAGCAACTCTCCAATGTCACTGAGGACAAAACTGTGCCATCCCGGTCAGCTCACACTGTCAAGTTCATCTGCTGACACAAGAAGCTGGCCCATGCTTCCTTGGTACCTGAGGAAGACGGGAAATGAGCTCTCTGGAAATGTCACTGTGCAGTTCTGTCATTTCTTACGGGTTGCTGAGCAACTGGCAGACCTTAGGGGAAAATGAAGCTGGGAAATGTATCTTTGTTGCAGTTCAGCTTGTCTGGGGTTTTATTACAAAGGAAGAAGGGATAATGGGCAAGTAGCATGCCCAGAGTACATTGGATTTGATGACAATTCCAGAGGCCAGTTTCAGTAGAGAAATAACTATGGAACCAGGGGCTGAGGAAGTGGAAATAGAAATCTGGGGGTGGGCATTTGGCACAGCAGTCACGTCACTGCTTGTGACACCCACAGCTTAGTTCAGCGTACCTGGGTTCGAGTCCCACTCCGCTTCCAACTCCAGCTTTATGATAATGTAAGCGCAGGGAGAGAGCAGGTGAGGGCTCAAGGACAGGGGCCCTGCGAGCCGCTCGGGAGACCCGGATTAATTGTAAGCTCCTGCCTTTGGTTTATCCCAGCCATGGCTATTATGGACACATTCAGAATAAATCAATAGAGGGAAAATCTCTCTCACTCTTTCAAAAAACAAAAATAAGCAAGTAAGTGAAAAAAAAAATAGAATGTATTTGCAAGAAGTTTGTCAGTGAAGGAAAGGAGAAGAGTGGCAGGGAATCCCAGGGACCAAAGTGTCAAATGAGCTGGTGGTTTTCTCCTTTGGAGTTCAGGAAGGTGGGCCTGGCATGGGAGCTTACTGGCTAAATCCTTTCCTTGCAACCACTGGGATCCCATATTGGCAACGTTTCGTATCCTGGCTGCTCCATTTCCCATCCAGCTCCCTGTTGGTGGCCTGTAAAAGCAGCACAGGATGGTGCAAAGCCTTGGGACCCTGCACTTGTGTGGGAGACCGGGACAAAGCTCCTTGCTCCTGGCTCCTGGTTTCAGATCAGCTCAGCTCTGGCCATTGTGGCTCCTTTGGGAGTAAACCAGTGGGTGGAAAATCTTTCTCTCTGTCTCTCCTTCTCTCTAGTAATCTGCCTTTCCAATAAAAAAAAAAAATTGTATTTAAAAAAAAAAAAAAGACTCCAGGTGGGTCTCAGGACGGGGCGTCTCATGCCTGGATCCCCGACAGCCGCCATGTGCACATGGTGAACTGTTCCTGGGCGGCCAGTGCGCCATTTGGTGCTAGGCTCTGGGGATTTGGTTCTTTGAGTTGCTGCTTAATTAGCTCCAGGTTGAACCCGTTGTGCTTCTTGGACCTGAAACATGCAGTAACTCTTCCTTTGCAAAACTTGTAATCACTAATAATGCTGAGCACCAAATACCAGTCCATGCAGAAGCTATGGCTTGGGGCTTGTCCTGCAGAAGTAGCTCCAGCAGCTGGCTAATGTGTCAACTGCTAATGGAACAGAGTAGATCAGGCACAACTGAGCAAACCTTAGCCCACAAGTAAAACTAGAAACCAGGAGGAAGCAGAGGTCATGCTGAGCTAGGCTCTTGTATCTGCTGGTCTGCGGAAGCCAGGGACACTAAGCCACAGAGTCTAACGCAGCATTCAGGACAGGGGAGGGGCTGTGCCAAGCTGAGTCAGAGCATCCATTGGCAGGCAAGTGACCTATGGCTGGGAACAGACCCGGTTGGGGAGCAAAGGGGACAACCCTAGCTGGGCTGAGGTTCCCACCAAGAGGCGCGTGGCCTGGAACGGAGGCTGCGTTCTGATCTGGAAACAGTTGTAGTCTCCCTTGGCACAAGTGCGGACTGGGATTGGATGCACCGAACCGGGCTGGAGCCCAACACTCCCTGGTGTCCTGGAGGACCAGGGCAGATGTGCGATGGACTAGGCAAGGTCTCAAACCCCTACTGAGCCATGTGTGAGCCATACGTGGGTATGGACAAACCATGGCTGGGCTGGAACATCCAACAGCAAGAACCAGAT